TCAGACCTTACCAGATACAACCTTTAAATTTGAATACATTAACCAACGCTTTGAATATTGAAGAAGTTAAAGATTGTAGTATGTTGGGAATAACTAAAGACACCAATTTAAATTGGATTAAACATATTGCAAAAATAAAAACTAATCTATCGCAGTTCCTTTACGCCTTAAGTGCACTGAAACAACATACAGACATCGATTGTGCCTTGACTACATATTATGCGTATGCAAACGCCTGGTTCCGCTAATTCCGCGGAATTATCCTGTGGGGACACACTCATGAGGCGCAAAAGATGTTCATATTACAGAAAAATTGTCTCAGGATAATCCTAAACCTACGCCATGGAGATAGCTGTAAATCTTTCTCATGTGGGGTAAAGCAGCAAATATTCAAACCATATTATACCAAAAAAAACCATATTAACCATATATTTGTATTGCAAAAACGAGCGATTCGTTCTGTGTACCGTCTAGGCTCTCGGGTTTCTCTCAGAGAAAAGTTTAAGGAGACTGGTATCATGACTGTGGCATCACAGTACATTTACTCAAATATTTTATATGCCCGTAAAATTATACATAATTTCAATAAGAAAGAAGATATCCATAATATTAACCTTGGAACTAAGTCCAAACTCATGGTACCACGATTTCGTTTAACCAAGGTAAACAACTCTTTTATGGGGAACTGTATACGTTTTTACAATAAGATTCCGGAGCATATATTAAGTTTATCATTTCCTAAGTTTAAAAACTACATTAAAAATATTTTGATCGAAAAATCATATTACAAAATTGAAGACTACGTGTTAGATAAAGACGTATGGAAAGACGACACGGCTCCAGAATCCACACAAATTTGATTCAAAGTGTATTCCATAGCATTTAAGTTTATTTGAAAAGAGCAATCCCTAGAGTTTCTTGCTCGTTCTCTCAGGGAGGTCAGCGTAGTGAACGAGCAGTAGCTTAAATGTGACGTTTGCAAGTGTAAATTTATTTTACCTATGGAATAAATAATCTTTGACTTTGACTTTGACTCTTTCTTCATAAAGTATCAGATACTAACTCTTCCGTGTTTGTATATACTCGAAATAGCGACATTTGTTAGAAAAAATATAAACCTCTTTGAACATGTCAGAAGTGAACGTAGACAGCATAAGCTAGTACCTCCATCGCTTAAACTTGCAATTTTCAAAAATAGCCCGTATTACAGAGCAATAGCAATATATAACATGGTACCTACAAATATATTACTTCAGAAATACGAAAAGCTGTTTTACAACAATTTAAAAAACCTCCTCATACAAAAGTGTTATTATGCAATACAAGATTTTGTTGAAGACAAAGAACTCTAATCCCCCTATTTTAAGGTCTACAATTATAATAATTAGTATATAGATTCATTATTTAATTGTTACTGCATTACTTTATTAAGATATTTTATTATTTAAGAGAATTTTATCCTTTTATTATTTAATTTATTTTTCAACTATTAATTACTTGTAAGTTTAATAATTTGCATGTCTAAGTATATTTTTAAGTCTTAGCTACGCCCTTACAGGGCACATGTAATGTGGTTTTATTGCATGTTCGCTAATAAATAAATACTGAAATACTGGATTCAGTTAACGAGTGAAGTACCAGATATGCTCAACGTGCTCAATTTTTCATTGTTTTAGGTGAAAAAGTGCAAGATCTAGCTAGTGAATTATTTAGACTTGAAAATATTCTAACTTTCAGCCGTACTAAGTCCATGCATCATTCTGTACTCTCAGTTAAACAGTTACAAAGTCTCATTGTTACTTTGAAAACATATTATCAGCTTGGAGAAATAATTAATTTAGGCATTAGAAATTATTATGATATTATTCGTTTAGGTACTTACTTTGTTAACAAAATAATAGTAATTGTTCTCCAATTTCCAATTATTTACATAAACTCTTTTGACTTATACAGATTACATCCTATTCCTAATAAGAATAATGAAATTATCCTGTCTCCGTACCCTTTTATGGCATCCAACTCCCAGGAGTATGTGTATATAGAGGCAGAATGCCCCAGAGTCAACGAGAAATACTTATGCGAGCAGAAAATCGAACATCAGATCAGAACGCAACGTAACTGCATACATAGATTAATATACTTGCATGAGATAGACGGAACATGTACAGTCACGCCAGTTGCTCTTTCAAAGGAAGCCTTCATAGAACTGGATAGCCAAAGCTACATTATATCCTTTCCAAGACCAACCACGGTTCAGCTCCTATGCAGCCAAGAGAAACACCAACTACTTGTAGGAACCTTTCTTGCTCACATTCCCATCTACTGCAAAGTAAAGGCTCCAGAGTTCACTATAATAAATATTGAAGACAAGATACGAGGTTCACCCCTTGAGCTAATTAACATCCCAAGTTGATATAGTTATGTTGAATAAGGTAAATAACATTATATTATAATTAGTAGTAGAGTTCCTCGTGAAATTTCGAAGGGTAAGGGTGCTGCTGAATAAATGAATATTAGACAGCATAACATACGTTGCTCTGATCCTAAAGTAAGTAGCTAAAGCACTTGTGTTATGGAAATCTGAAACAACGACGGTCCCACAAACACCCGGATCCGAGACAATATGGAAAAGTTTCTACATTGACCCGGCCGGGGGTCGACGGGGGGTGACGACACCGTGAAAACCTGTGTGTAAACGCCTCTATTACGGAGGTCGCTGATGAAAATACTGGCACACACGGGTTATATAGCTTTCATTCGCTTTCTAATCTTTGCGATCAACTCTGATTGGACAGTAGTGGTCCTAACACGGACCCCTGGTGTACTCCGCACATCATTGGGCGCTCGGCGCGCCTCCTTTCCCTCGTCTGGTAGAGCATCACCCTGTCCTCCAGGTAGTGCTCCACCAGACGGCTGAGATACCTGGGGATCTCGTGGTACCTCAGCACCTCCCTGATAACGGCGAAGGGGAGAGTGCCGAAGGCGTAGGCTATGTCCAGGGACACACTGTTATGGGTAGGCAGGTCGCTACGACTCATTCGTCCTGTCACTTACGAGTCGATACGACCTCAAATGGTTTTGGTTGATCCCTGCCGACATCTGCAGATAAACACAACCTAGCGAAGTTTAATTTGACCACTATTGAACTTACCAATTTATAAAATATTCAAAAACAATTAAGAATGCAAGATCCAATTACAGTTGAAACAGTCGACACTTCGATCTCTACGCACACGATTGCATTACTCAGTACATTCGCGCTGGTCGTCACCTACTTTATACGCCGCAGAAAAACTTACAAATTAGACTTTCGTAACTTCGCGTCGAAATGTGAGTCAACGACACAGGCTGACATGGATATGGAGAAACGTAAAGCGACATTTGCATTAGACATCGGCAAATAGTCGCTCATCTTCGGCAGAGAGATGTTATGTATTTGGTTTTGCACATAACACACATACCTAAAACGTCAGGTCAATGCGCTTGCATTCGCGCACCCCGGAACGCGCGCCCCGTGCATTGCAACGTGACCGATGCAAAATTCATCATTTTAATTATAATTACAAGACACTTTTAGACCTAACGTACCTAACTTCGGACGTTCTTAAAATTATTTAGTTTAAGAAATACCTTTGTGGAAATTTAATATAGTTATTCATCATATTTTCTCGTCTTTATTTCATCTCCACTGCGGCCACCCTATATAATACGTGCAAAAACATAAGTTTTAAATTATGCAGTTATAAACCACTTTTTATTTCATATAAAAGAAATATTGAAAATCTACGGAGTTAACATGCAACACAGCAATAAAATGATATTAAATTTTTTGTTTTGTTTGATATTAAACATGTCATTAATGGCGTGGAAATCCTAATTAGGTTATTGTCAGACTTTCTGTCAAAATAAATGTCGTCACTATTAAGTTGTAAACTACTTGTGTTGTCTTCTCTTTCCCTATTATAGGTACGTTGTACTGGCGATTCGTATGTACATACAATTATCTAATCGTTCACAATCTTTCTGGTTATGGGCTCAGGGGTAATAGAAATAGATAATACATGTCTGCGTCTTTCGTTTGTGGTACAAATTAGATCGGCCGCCAATATGACGACATTACACTAGTGCGTGAAGGGTTCATATTGGCGCGATCTGTTGTGGTAGGAATAAGATCGGAATTGTGTTCTAGGTGATGAACAACAAATCCTTAACTTTTTTATAAAAGAATGGACTTTGAAGTCCGTGGAATTACATCTACTTGCCAAGTTTTATTGTAATCAGTTACCGGAAAGTGCGCGAAACTGGATTCATCCCCTAGTATGCCACCCTTAGAGGTGGAATATTGTAATCAAATTGAAATGGGACCAATACTGAAGCACCCTTTTTTCAACAAATAAAATCCTCAAACTCGGATCACAAATGAGTGTTATCGCGTAACATACCTACATACAAAAAAGTACAGTCGAATTTTATAACCTCCTTTTTTTTGAAGTCGGTTAAAAATACACAAATATTTAGTTCTAAAATACATCTTTTTTATAATTTTTTTTATTCCATTACCCATAGTACCCCAGTATCTGCAGTAAAACGACTCATAGGTACATACCATTGTAAAGGAAAAAGATTTTTTATAAAAAAAATATAATTATGGAATATACATACATATAGTAAAGGCATGCTCTTTTGCTCGGCCATCTAAAAATAATCATCCCCTTTGACAATATAAAATACGAAACCGCAGTTTTTAATTTTTTTAAGAATTAAATACAAAAAGATTTGTGTCTGCAATGTGCAATAATCGTCACCATCAGAGCAGCGCGGCCAATATCGTCGGGTGAGTGGATATCTACTGTTTTTCAAGTCCCCTTTGGATTCAGCTCCCGTGCTAGTCATACTCTATTATAATGTTAGTCTACGCACAGTATTTTTGGCTATTTATACGCCTTAGCAAGTTCATACCTTCGTCAACCACACTTCAATAATGAAAAAAAAAAGATTACCTATATAGAAGAGTTCAGTGGTGATGGTCCACCCGCTGTAGTTCGGCGCGTTCACAAAGAAAGTGAACATTGATAATAGGAAGAAGACGATCCACATAATTAAGTACGCCTTTATTATGGCAGCTCGCTCCTGGAAACCAAATAATGAAACCTAAAATGAACCAAAAATTTACACGTTAAGCTGTAATATTTACGGGACTAAGTGCTCTACAATTTTCACAGAAACATGATGATGTCGATAAGTTGGCTTCTTGAGCCATCGTCATTAGTCCATTCCAAACGATAGAGTGGGAATAAGCTTCTCCCACTCATGAGTGGTGCACGTGTGAAAATCACCTCAACTACGGAAGCGTTTCCCGCCAGTCAGTCCACCTAAATACAATTGGTAAAAGCGAAGGCATGTCATTCCCACTTACCGTAATGACGGCATAAATGAACAAAAGATCGAATAAGAATTTAGCGAGGAACATGAACACCAAAATAATAGACATCGCGTAAAGGCCCGTTATGGCGGCATGGGCTTCTACGTCAAGCTCATTCTCGTCAAGTTCCTTCGATTCCACGCTGCCGACTGTCGCGGATATGACGATCATCACCACTACTAGCACGAACGAGAAGAACTGCAATGAAGCAAAATGTCTGTGAAATTAATGTTCATTGTAATGGCGATTAGACTGGGGTGCAATTCTGGGGAGTCATATGAATCTCACACTTTAACTGTGAGCGTATTAATAATACATAATAATATTAATAATAGCTTTTACAAGAGAGGTAGTTACAGTACTCAATTAGTTATCGGTTGGTGGGTGACGAGACAGGCAACATCCGGATTCCACAAAAGGATTAATTAAACCTGTGTTAGAAGATAGTAATGTTGCCACCATGGCGAGTCAGCAGCAATCGTATTTTTAATAACATAATTATGACTTACGAAAAACAACTTTATGAGAAAAAACTCTGGTGGAACTCTCCAAAACCAGTACAACTGTTTACTTAAAAAAAAAATATATATATATATATACATATATATATGTGTATATCATGTGCAGAGTCGTCATCGTCATCATCATCATCATCATCATCGTCATCATCATTATTATTATTATTACATTATTATACTCTTATTATATATACCTCGATTACCACTGACTGACTGACCCAGTCATTTAGATAATTGTTCTCCCAGAAGGAGTCGCAGTGGGTAAAAATGATGTACGGGAGTCGTGATCGGAGGGCTCCAGTGAGTACCAGAAAAATACGAAACCTTCGAAAAAGTATAACACATACCGGCAGGGTCGTCAAACTAAAAATGGCCGCCACACTGGGCGATTTGTACCGGAAGTTAAAAAAATTTAAGATCGAATAAACGAGATGACCGCCATACAAATTTCAGAGCCTTGTAGCTCGGCAAGTATTCGAGATAGGCGGGGGGTCCTCGACCAAATGTCATAAAGGGCGATGGGGGTCAACTGCCGGTGACAAAATTTTTTCAAGATGGCCGCCTCAAAATGAGGGCCAAAAAAAGTGGTCCGATCCGGCTGAAATTTGGCATGCGGCCATATATGGGAGTCCATAATACGAATCTGAAGATCTGAAAATTTTGATTTCGCCATTTTCCAAGATGGCCGCCATACATGTGAATTTTCTGTCCTTTGGGGTAATTTTTCTTCCAGAAGGGTGGGTAAAAATGATGTACGAGGTATTAGTCGGATCAGACTGGTGAGTTATAAAAGGTACCGTAGTATTTGGAAAGTGCTCCGCATCAGGTAGGGCCCCAACTGCCCGGCCAAAGTATGCATCTTGGCTCAAAGTTTCAAAACAAATTTCTATCCACACCCAGGGCAGTTTCTACGGAGAGTGAAAAAATTCCAAATTCGAAAAACAAAATGGCCGCCACACAAATTTCGGCGGTTGGTATCTCGGAAATTGAAGACAGGTAGATCGTGTTCAAACTAATATTGTAGAGGGCGACAGGATCAAACTGGCTGTCGAAATTATTTTTTCAAAATGGCCGATTCAAGGTGGCGGCCGGACAAAAAGGTGCTCCAATCCGGCTGAAATTTTATACTCTTTCATGTTTGGGAGCTCGTAATAAGAATTTGTGGTCAAATTCTTGATTCCGCCAATTTGCAACATGGCCGCCATACATTTGCCACGGTCCCCTACGTTACGAGGCCTTCGTCTCGGCGAGTATTGGAGATAGCTCAGAGGTGCTCAAACAAATGTCATACAGAATAGTACGAGCCAACTGCAGGTAAAATAAATTTCAAGATGGCGGACTCAAAATTGCGGCCCGAAATAAAAGTGCTCCGAAATGACTGAAATTTGACATCCGATCGTGTATGTAGGTATATAGGAGGTAAGTATGTATCTGCGAACAAAATTTGGATTCCGCCATTTTCCAAGATGTATGGCGATACATGTGAATTCTCTGCCCGTTGGCGTCATTTTTCTCCCAGAAGAAGAGCTAGTGTGTATGAGTGATGTATGTACACAAATAATGGTTGGGTGAATTTGGTGATTATCAGAAAGTATTAAAACCTTCGAAAAGTGCTCCGCATTAGGTAGGACCCCAGCTGCCCGGCCACAGTATACGTCTTGGATCCAAGGTCTCGAAGCAAATGTTGGTCCACACCCTGGGCAGTTTTTACCAGTAGTGAAAAATATTCGAAATTCGCTAAACAAAATGGCCGCCATATAAATTTCGGGGGACTATATCTCCGTAACTATTAGAAACAAGTAAATTCCATGTCCAGTCCATTGTCAACTTCATTTATTCAAAATGGCCGATTCAAGATGGCGGACCGAAAACAATTCACCGAACGTGCTGAAATTTGGCACTTGGCGTATAAGTCACCATAATACGAAATTGTGTTTGTAGTTTTTTGGTTCCGCCATTTTCTAAATAACATTCCAACAGTCCAACATTGTTCTCCTAGAACGAATCAAGGTGTGTTTAATAAATGCACAAGGATTGTGCTGAACTGAGAATATTGAATACCAGAAAAATGCAAAATCTTCAAGAAGTTGCCTGCATCAGGTAGGACACCTGTCCGGCCAAAGTGTCGGAGATAGTTGTATGGTTTTCAAACAATAATTGTCAAAGACCCTGATTAGATTCTACCGGAACTAAAAATTTTCCAATATAGCGAACCCAAGATGGCCGCCATAAAAAATTGACTTTTCTTAATCTTTGCAATTATTGGTGATATGTAAGTAGTTTCTTATGAAGTATTTAAGGATACGACTTGACGCGATTATACCTATTATCTGACTCCCTCACAACCAAATAAGCTTAACAAACATACATTTCTGAAACAAAAACTACAAGCAGCAAACCGTCACAAGCCTAATACACAAGCCATGTGTGTTTTATGTAGTATATTGCGCAACGCGCAATATACTATATACATATACGTTGGTAGCTCGATTACTACTGACTGATGTAGACACTTAGGTAATTGTTCTCCCAAAAGGAACAGAGATCATTTAAAAAGACCTTGGTCAGGTTCTATCGAGGCCAAAAATTTTCAATATGGCGGATCCAAGGTGGCCGCTGTACAAAATTGAGTTTGCTGAATCTTTCAACTATCGATTATGTATGGGTTATATCTTGTGAAGTATTTTCGGATACGACTTGAAGAGATCATACTAACTAACCTGCTCCCTCCTTCCCAACGAAATATAACCAAAAATTTTTTTCCGAATGAAAACCTACAAATAGCAAACAGCCTTATTAATACAAAGCCCACGCGGGCCGCTTTAGCGGCCCAGCGCAACGTGCAACATTTAAGTCTCCGGCTTGTACGGCCCGGCCAAAGCTTCAGAGATAAGTATATGGCTTCAAAACAAAAATTGTCAAGGACTCTGGTCAGGTTCTATCGAGACCAAAAATGTTACAATATGGAGAATCCAAGATGACCGCCAAGTCAAATTGAGTTTGCTGAATCTCTGCAACTATCGTTGATGTACGTGTCTTGTGAATTATTTTAGGATACTAATTTACGCAACCACACCGACCACCTGCTCTCTCTTTCACACAAACCAACCTAACCAAAGAAAATTATTTTCTAAAATATAAACTTCAATTTCCAATTTGTCACCAGACACAAAGAAAGCCCCTGCGGGCAGCCACAGCGGCCCGCGCAACGCGCGCCATCTAGTTACATATATAAAGCTACAAATCCTGACTCACTTAGAAATATAGAACGCATACTTCCCGATATGGTGGAAAAAAGGCATTTATACCGTTGTACGCAGATAGGCTCCAAGGCAAAGAATCAAATATGAGAAGACCTGAGTGTGGAAAAGGTAAACGAGTGATTGACGGCCTAAAACTATAATAGGTGGGGGTGATATTTGTGCACTTTTATAAGATACACCTTGGTCAATTTCTGCAGAAAAAATGTTCGAAATTCAAATAAATAAGATGGCCACCATACAAATTTAGAAGCCTTCTATCACGGAAACTATTAGAGATAGGTAGAAGGTGCTCGAAGAAATGTCATAGAAGGTAATAGTGGTCAAATGCCCGTGTAAAAAAAATCAAAATGACGAATCCAAAATGGCGGCCGAAGAAAAACTTGCTTCGATACGGCTGAAAGTTGACATGCATGGTCTTTAGGAGTCCTTAATCATAATTTGGGGTCAAAAGTTTGTTTTCGCCATTTTTTAATATGGCTGCCATATAAAAGTTTTTTTTTTCGTTAAAACAGCTGCTGAAAGAGATTCGCTCTGCTTCAGCTGAAAATTGTCATATGGAGGCCTCTAGAAGTGCCAGATAATAATTAGTGCTCGAAATTGGTTTTTCGCCATTTTCAAATATGGCCGCCGAACAAGCGTTTGTTTTCAGTAGAAAACAAATTGTTCTGATCCCTTTGAAAATTGCCATGTCGGCGTCTCTAGGAGTGCATGATAATAATTTGTGATCAACATTAGTTTATCGCCATTTCTCAATATGGCTGCCATAGAAGTGTTTTTTGGCGGCAGATGAAAATTTGCTCTAATTCGATTGAAAATCGGCATGTGGGGTGGGGTCTCTACGGGCTTTTAATAATAATTTGCAGTCAAAATTATTTTTCGCCATTTTTTAATATTGCTGCCATACAAACTTTTTGGCGACCGATGGAAATTTGCTCTAATTCAGCAGAAAATCGGCATGTCGGGATCTCTATGGGTGTTTAATAATAATTTGCAGTCAAAATTAACTTTTTGCCATTTGTCAATATAGCCGCCCTTAAAGAGCTATGGTAATTTTTTTAGTCATAAGTGCCGAGGCCGTAGGCCGAGGTATAGCGGAGGGCGAAGCCCGAAGCGTCCGCACGCCACCTTACGTAGGTAATATACGGAGACTCTATTACGGTACAAGATTTCACAATTGTTGAAAATGTAAGGCATACTTCCCGATGTAGTGGAAATAAGATACTTATAGCGTTGTTGTATCTCGACCGTCTCTCTGTTAGATTCTTTTTTCTTGGAAGCTATGCCAAAAAGAGAAATATTTAGGGAAAAAATGCCAGACAATCACTCCAAATTTCTGATTTTAAACTAGGGAATTTCCTGTACTATGGAGTAACGATAATTCAGAGGGCAATACCCAGAATACCCTGACCAGAACCAATTTAAAAATACTTTTTTGGCTCAAATCAGGGATCTAATCTTGAACCTCCTCATCAAGCGCCCATAGTACTTAATCACTGTGCCACCGAAGAGTATAAACAAACCTGAAACCGACCACGTGCCGCAGGTCGAGCCCGACCCCATCGCAGGTAGGGCTCATAAATTATAAACTTAAAACTTTCCCGCGTATTCTTAAAATGCGCTAAAATATTATTTTTAGAATGACCATTAAGTGTAACATTTAGAAAAGATTATTTTTTGTTTAAAGTTAATAGTGACAAGAACCGCACGGCATTTTTTGGCCGACCCGTTAATATCATAGCAGGCAGGCAGGTGGATAGATACATAATTATCTTGGTATGTACTTACAGCGTTTATGCATCCCAGAACTATATTTCCTGTCTTCAGGTCTAATATAAAGCAACATGATTCCAACCTCGGCAAACCCATGGTAACCTGAGAATGATAGGATCAAAATGAAAATAAAAAACTAAACACGGAAGTTTGTAAATGTTACCTATTCTTTAGACTGTCGTCTTTTTCAGTCGCGATCGCAGCGCAGCTGATGATAATTTTTAGAATGAAGAGATTTTTCCGATTATTTTATGAAGTCATTTCCTACTTAAGTTTTTTGCTAATAAACGCAGTTAATATCTTCGTAACAATAACAAAATACACCATTTACCTTTTCACTTATATATTTGAAAAAACTGTACCTACTTAAAAATCTTGAAACAATATTTTTTGCAAATTTGTACTACTTCGTCTAAACAGAGGAGCAACTTTAGTCCCTTGAAAGGCACTAACTGAGCAAGTTCCAGAGGCGTCAAAGATTACTTCAGCAGAAGTGTCCATCGGCCTTTAATTTGGGTTCGACTATATTTTCGTTATATCTGTTTTAAAAAATAATTCCTTCAAATTCTTGAGGATATTTTTGTAATAGACCATAATACATAATACTTCCCATACTAATACTAATACTTACCATATTAATACCATAATACTTTTGTCTCAGTTCAGTGAACATAGTTGTTCTATTTTTATGTGTAGGTACACACAGGTACTGTTAAGTTGCTTCAATGTTTTTGATAAAACTTACAAAACGAAACCTATTTCTCACGGACTCCAAAAAAAGGAGGAGGTTCTCAATTTGAGCAATTTTTTTTTATATGGATTACGTGATTAATCCGGTTTGTGAACCGATTTGGATGATTCTCGTGCAGATTAAGCTCCGCTGCATACGCAGTCCGCAGA